ATATCTGATCAATTAGCCCCTTCAGTGCCATCAATTATAGACATCTCACAACATGGGTTTTGTAATGGAAAATTTACCCTATCGAGCCAGCTAGAAGTCAGCACGCATGTCTGACTGCACTGACTTCACCAAACCATTTGACAAGGTCTCTCATTCTTTACTTTTGGAATATGGCTCATTTGTATGGAGTCCACACTATCAATTGTATAGTAATAAATTGGAATCTGTACGAAAGAAATTCCCATTATTCCTGCCTTCTTACCAAAGTCGTTTACCGCTCATTAATCTGTCTACACTCCATAGTCATAGAAAGAAGCTTGCAGTTTTTTTTTTTAACTAAATTGATAAAAGGTGCTATCAATAGCCCGTTCCTACTTAGCGAGCTTAACTTTAACATCACCTTAAGATCATCTAGACACCTTAGGCTCCTTTCATCTTTTTGTAACGAATTTTATACACAACACAACACACACTCTATATCAAAACCTGCTTACTAACTACTTTCAATGATTAAATAAATTTTCTCCTTTTCCCCATGCAGCTAATGAACAAATCTGTAGCTGTTTAGTGTAAGAGGCAAGTGTATCCGCGACCTTCCGCTATCGTTTTTGGGTTCAGGGCAGTCCGGACTGCTACTGGTTTCCGGTCACCGTTCTGTTGGATTTTTCGATTGTCCCTCAGATGCGCCTCTCGGTCGGTTGGGCGGGAGGTGGGTAACGCTGGGTTCGTCGCCAAAAGAAGAGTCCAAAGACGTGAGCTATCAATTACTGACATTGGTCCAGATATTTATATATAACCCACTTAACAGTTAGCAGTTTCTGAGCGTTCTATGGACTTAACAACGAATATCTAAGGAATTTCGCTCAAAAACTTTATATTACCTAAGGAATATGATAGTTACACTGAATTTGCCCAGAAAATTTAAAAAAAGTTAAACCGTCTGGCGTTTATAAAAATATCTTAATATCAGCTGAATATCTAATATCTACTGAAAATAAATAGAACACTTTGTTTATTAATTCAAGAGCTGGAACTCACAAACTAATTGCAGAACTCATTTATTTTATTTCATTTCAATTTTCAATATTAAAAAAAAATGTGCAAAGCGTAGAAAAAATTAACAATGAAAAATAATCACATTTCCAGCCATTGTCGATTTAACTGAACATGGAAATTGATCGTGAAAATCTAGATGATGTTTCAAGTGCATCCGACAGATAGTGGGTTTGAAAAGTCAAACAATTCATGGCCATTATGAAGAGTCGGCAATCCGAAAAAGCGATGAGAAATTAAATAAAAATAAATAAATAAAACAGGAAACTTATATATACTACTTCATACTAACATACACACACACACAGGTATATATATATATAAATCTAAATAACAAGCGTTTATTGTGTAAAACGCTTGCAACGAACGGCAGTGACAGTGATGATGGCCAGCGCATATTTACGACGACTGCAGTACAATTTGTAAGCGGCAGTTTGGTCATACTCGTTTAAATAAATGCAACTACATACATATACAATACATAAGTATATTGCCGTCTGCATGTATATATTATATATTTGTATGTGCACTGCTTGTTGCGGTTCGTCTGATTAAAATAATGGTTTTAGTTTCACCAACCTGAAATGGTTTCGAGTGCAGCAGCACAACCTACATGCTGATGGTGATTTATAGCACAAAATCTAAACAAACACACAAACATACTTTTATGTGAACACTTGTTTGCTTACATAGCGCAATACATTTGGTTGGTTGGTTGGTGTTATGCCAATGCAAGTGGGCATCTCTTGCACATCCACGTGACTGCACTTTTGTTCGCAGGCATCCGCTGTGGCAATTAGTGAACCGTGTCAATGGTTATTTTTGGTTAAAAAGTGTCAAGTTCGACTTTGTTTACTATAAATGCTGCTACTATTTGCTGCTATGTATTAAATGGAAAAATTGAAATAAATGTGAAAAAGAAATACATAAATATTACCGTCAAAATATACACCCACGAAGGAAGTTGTGTGCGACCGAGCAGTTCACAGCCACATATGTAGCTTTTGTTTTTTTTTATTTTTATTTTTATTTTTATTTTTATTATTATTTTTTTTAGTGTGAGTGGGCAGTGATTCAGATTTTCAATTTAAAAGCAAAGGTCAACAAAATAAAATAAAATTATATATAATATAATTAGCGCATGAGTAAATATACCAAATGGCACAACTACCGCAGACATGATATTATATTTGATTTGAGAAAAAAAGGAAAATATTTCTGCAATACGTACATACATAATTTACTTTTACCAAATAAAAACAATTGTGTAAAATTATTTTTAAAAATTTTATTATTACCCACCAGACCCAAGAAACTACTCAGCAAAGCTTAAGCGTACCAACATACCCGGCCTTAAAACATGAGCTCAATAGATCCAGAAAAAAGCTTTCCATTGCTCTGAAGCAAAAAATAAAACGAACAAACATTGTAAACATAATTGTAAGGCCTGACAGCGACTGCTGATACTACTCTGCTGGGAAATAGTAGACTAGTATGCAAAGAGTCTGGTTAAATACTAGTATTTTGAAGATGAAATCATACTAGTTTGTTGTAAACCAGAGTTAAACTAGTATTTAAAAGACAAAAATATACTAGTTTGCCATGGACTAGAAATATGCCAGGAATTTTCGGTAAAATCATGACTAGTTTGCAAACTTTCTAGTATATGAACTGGTATTTTGCGGACAAATTCATACCAGTTTTTCGTTTTGGGAAAAAAACAGTCAGACCTCATAAGTAACTAGAAGCTTCAACTACACATAATTAGATTTATCCCTACAACAACAATCCCATCAATGTGGTTTTTTATATTTCGCTCAATGATGAAAAATTATGAACTGACCCAAATAAGAAGGAAATAGAAAGCATAATTTTAAGTTAAATTAACTATAATATAAATAAGCCAGTCCCTAGTTCAGTCCTCATTCTCAAATCCATCTGAACACACCGAAAAAATTTACTAAAACCAACTTAACGGTTTGGATTGCCAGAATCAATCGAGCTCGTTTTTTATTAGTACGATGGCGACTGATTTGAGGTGAACTAGTTCTTAACTGGTTGTCAAAGAACCTTCTATGTGACACATATTCAGCAAAAGTGGACCATAAAATACGATTTTCTCAAAAAGAGCGACTCCTATCTCCCGGAAAAATTATTCACTCTATTAATTTAGGAGCTAAGCTGTGTCTGTCAAAAAATTTAAATAAATTTTTTTGAATAGATCGTTTTCATGTTTATTTTCTGAAAGAATAGGTGTTTAGTCGAGTGTGGTAACCCTGCGACCTTGAAATTCTTTTTCCCTTTTCGCAGTATCCATCTCCTTTCCATAGATATATTTGCAATCGCTCTAGCTTGTTTAGTTCGCCTGCTGTGTCGTGTTGAGTATACGTGTGTTCGTGGTGCTCGTTACGAAAATGGGAAAACGAAATTACGAACAACGCATCGCGACAAAATTTTGCGCCAAATTGGGCAAAACAGCTTCGGGAACGTGCGATAAAATCGTGCCCAGGTGTTTCGATGGCATGAATAGTTTAAGGAAGGACGTGAAAGCGTGAAAGACGAGGCGTCAAGTCTACTATTGCCAAGTACTTGAAAGATTGCGAAAACGAGTCAACAGGGTGCGCCCAGACATCGCTCGTAACTGAATCCTTCATCACGACAACGCGCCGTGGCACACCGCCTTCAGCGTGTCCTGGTATTTGTCCTGTAAAGGGATTGCCGTGCTACAGAAATCATCTGTCTGCTGTCGAATAACACAAAATCGGTGGTCAAAGAAACCCATTTTGAGTCGACTGAGTACATCCAGGAGTAACCCTCGTCACAGGTTACTCGCGGTAATCCCAGTCGAAGCGTTCCAGAAATGTTACGAAGCATGGAAAACGCGCTGGACTAGTTGTATAGATGCTCAAGGGGAGTACTTTAAAGGAGATGGCAGAGTTCTAGAATAATTTTGAAATATACGGTTTTTACGGAATCTGTCTCGTTAGTTAATTGTCATCAAAACTTAAACGAATTAAAAATTCGATTTTTTCGAATAACTACCAAAGTCCCAAATGCACTTCCCGGGAAACCATTTCTTATCGGGCACATACATCATACCCGGCACAAACGCTCACAGTTTCAGGTTTCTACTAGTCTAGTTTAGCCTCTGGGTTAATCCGTCAGTCATTGCGGACAAAACCTAATGCTTCCTATCAAGAAAATTGCGAATTCACATTGAATGATAGGATCTAAGTCTAAACTAAGTTTAAAAAACAAAATGTTAGCTATCTTGGGCGTAAGGGATACAATTTGAGTACTCTGCATCTGAATTTAGTATACATATAGAACTCAAAGGATATCTCAAAGGGTAAAACCATAGGAGCAATGCATAGGCTCCCTAGGTAGTTAAAAAACTCCGTAGTTCATAACGATCTCTAGATTTACACCGTAACAGAGCAGGCAGAACAACTGCGAAAAAATTACTCATTGAGATTATTTAACAATCCAAAATTTCTAGGTAAGTTTTAGCTGCGGTTAAGGAGGGCGCTGATGAATTCAATGGCACATTTACAACCTTCTAGATATTTATGGTAATTTTCTTTATAACATCTTTTATTCTATATTTTGATACATTTTTTATAATTTTTGATTTGCCTAATGACAACTTTTGAAACACAATCTTTGTTAAAACAAAATTAAATTAATATTTTATTCTAATTTGCTTCCTTTGTTAATCGCTGCAGTGGTAATGGCTAACTTTGTATGATGTATAAATCGAAACTAAAATTATTCACTGTTAGTTTCTGAGTGATGAAATATTTCAATAAAACATTTGGAATAAATTTCAATTTCGTTGCTTTGCATCAATTACATAAAACCTTGCATAAACATAGATAAATAAATACATATATCAAAGTACAAATATAAGAAAAAATAAATAAATAAATTAATGTACTCTTACTAACCTCTAAAATTGTGTAGTTGATTTAAAATTATAATGCCATACAATCAGCAAAACTGTTGCGATGCTATCGGAGGCTATGCGTTGGAATTTGCGATGCGATGCAGCAGGATGTGCGCGAGATAATCTTGTGCGAAAGGCCAAATATGGTGAAAAATGCCGCAGAATGAAGCATCAACAATGCAGTACAACACAATAAATATATTTTAACTTATTGGAGGATAGGTATGTATGCACGTATGCTATGTAAGCCAATCACGTAAAAGCTTAAGAGAGAGCCACGAGATTTTCTTTCGTTTTTTTTTTAGTGAATTTCAACTCGAGTGTTGACGTCAAGGATGTTGATGGTGTAGAGTTAAGAGTGAACGAATTATTGGCGTTCTTTTTAGTACTGCTGCAAACAACAACAATCTCAATCACTCATATATTTAGAGACATACATATGTGCGCACATGTGTACTTGCGATATGGCGATATGCGTGAGACATGCATGTGATTTTCAGTCGCAGATATGTAGCTCAGTAGGTGTGAATGTTAAGTGATAATTGCAAAATTACATGCACAAAATCGTGTAGTTGCATTGTTGATTTAAATTTGTTGATTATTTTAAATTTCTGTGCTTGGGCTCCATTTGTTGGGTATGTCTTTTTCGTATGTTGTGTTTGTATTTAGTATTATTGTTGAGAGACTGTAAATGGGATTAATTGTATGCTACACTTCTCACATTTTATTGAAATTTACGCACGCTTGCTGGCTTGACTGAATCTTCTACTTGATATTTAATGCCATTGCTGCAGGTCTACATATTTCGTCTGAAATTGGAAGGAATAAAAGATATAAGAAATAATTTTTTTTGAAATAAATTCACTTAAAGATTTAAATAAAATATTTGACTTATTATTTTTAGCCTCATTTATTTAGTTTAAAAATAAATAAAACATACATATGTATTAAAAGTGAATAATAATCAAATAATGAATAAATTAAATATATAAATAAAAAAAAAATAATTTGAAAAGGTAATTAAAATACTTCCACATTACTGCTTCTATGAGTTCGGCAAATCAATTACAATTAATATGATATTATTAAAAATTCAAATAAAACGAAGGTCGCTTCGGCTTAAGGGGCTCTAAGATATATTTAGTTTTTTAGAGAGATTTCACTGCTATGAAAATCACAACTTTTTATCCGTCAAAAATAAGCGACATTGTGCTTCCGAAGGGATATACAAATCCAGCACACTGTGGGGAAGGGATTCAGGAATTTTCCGCGGTTAGACATATCATAAGAGGTGACTACAATTCAAAAGTTCCCGGGAGAGTCGGGTCTTTCTACAGGAATGACCAGAATTTAAATCCGGAAAAGGGCTGCCACTACTGCAACATTCAATTAAAAGTACTTTGGGGAATATTTCTGCCTATACAACAACAATAACAAGAAAAACAACGCTACAGTATGTATACAATGAAATTTTCGAGAGCTGAAAGACGGCGGCCGCTGTAGCCGAGTGATTAGCATTGCATAATTGCGGGTTCTTATTCCGATGCCACCAACATCCAAAAGTTATGGAAAATTAATTTAAAATAAAATATTAAGTTAAATTTTCTGATCGCGCCAAAGTGTCAATATAAATATAAAAGACAGATCAAGGCGAGACATAATGTCTGGGATCCCAGCATAACCGCCAATATCATCTGCCGTGATCGCTTGTAACACACTTACTTTTTGCTATTTTGATCTCGTAGGTTGGTCTTATGAATGAGCACGACCTACTAGCTTCTAATGCGAACATTATGGGCCCTAGACATACATTAAGTAAATGGAAACAGGAGGGTGAAAGATATTAGAAAGTATTTTTTTCTTTTTGGCCTTCTCTACAAGTATAACATATTTTAGACACCTAATATATCCCTATACATTTGATATAAAAAGTTTCAAAAGTGAACAACAAAGTCTTTTTAAAATTTGCAAAAAAACGCTGATTTCCTACGCGACGACCTCCAAGTTAGAACCGACAAAGGATTTTTTAAGAATTAACAACCAGTTTTAGATGTTAGCTAACTTGCTTAGGGGTGTGTTGCCTTCAATGTGAAGGAAGAAGGAGAAAACTTCAACTGTTAGGAGAGCTTTTTTAATCTTGTTAACTTTAAGAAACCGCTAGTGATTAGAAACCAAAAAGGGTATCCAATTAATGTGTGAGAAAATTTTTAACTATTATACAATAATATTATACAATCGGAATTATCGACTTCTTAAAGAGCTCGCTGACAGTTCATTTTAGACAAAATTATTAAAATTGTTGATTCTAGTTAAAGACCTAAAAAGTCCTTTTTCAATGAGGGGCACCCGAATTTTTGGATATTTAAGTATTCAGTGGTATATGCTAATAACAAGAAGTTATATATTTTCTAAAAATAAACCTGTTGCACGCAATACAGAAGAAGGAAATAAATAAGAAGATTATAATTAAGTTACCGTTAGATCCGGTAAAGATCATTGATGTTTTTGTTGTAGGCATTACGAAGATTTGATACTACATAATTGTAATTAAAAAAAAAGAATATAGAACTTAATACTATAAAAAAAATAATATCATAATTATCAAAAATTTAATTGATAATAATAGTTGCAATAATGAGAAAAAACAGTATTCTTCTTAAAGAAATTTATATAATAATTACGAGCTCAATTAATTCAGCAGTGTTTTCAATGATAAATACCTTTCATTTCCATATAATTTTAATTTCATGGCTCACCTTTCACTAATTTTCAACACTAACAATTAATCATTTATATAAATTTGCCTATGTTTATTCAGTATGCATCTGTTAGGTATATATTTAGTAATATGATGCTTTCTAACTTATGATGTATTTATAATAATTTATTTTATTTTCCGACTTGTTTTAGCTTGTACCAGCCCACACAAAATCATTTGAGTTAATGCAGATTTGATGTAAGACCAAAAGCATGAAATTTCAGCTAAATCTACCGCCATGAAATAAGAGAGTGTCAGAAAACAAATGTCGGTAACAAAAACAAAAACACAACACATTAATTCTTACTTAGGTATGTACATATGTACATATATGCGCATTCATAATTACATATTGAATTACACTCTTTGTGCTTCCTCTTTTTCTTACTATCATATATTATTTATTTTTTATTTTACTTCTATTTTGCTGTTTATGAGTTTTGATAAATGAAATTTAATCGTTTTACTGTATTAAAAATGCATTGGAATACTTCGCTGTTATAAGCATGTGCAGTCGAAACAAAGCAATCGAATTAAAAATAACAAACAACAAAATAACAGCTGCTTTGCCAGCGCGGATTAAGTATCCGCCGTGTGAACAGATAATTTGCTGAGAGGGTTCATATATCAGTAAGCGCTTTATTTTGAAATCATGCATTTTTGATGGAAATGCATTTGAAGTAGAGGTAAACACATAGAGGGCTTATATAACTGGAATTTATTTAAATATAAGTTATATTTCTCACACAAAACAATGTTAACAAGCTTTACTGACGCTACATAAAGAAAAAACTTAAAACATAAATAAGTAACAAAACAAAATTAATAAAAAACGAATAATCTATAAATAACTACATATCAAAAACAAAATAATTAAAAAAAATAAAATAAAGTGGAAAAGAAGAAAATTAAATAAAATAATATTAAATAAAATAAAATAAAAAAAAAATTAAATAAAATCAAATAAAATAAAATAAAATAAAATAAAATAAAATAAAATAAAATAAAATAAAATAAAATAAAATAAAATAAAATAAATAAAATAAAATAAAACAAAATAATATAAAATACAATGAAATAAAATAAAATAATGAAAAAGAGAATAAAATAAAGTAAAATAAGATGAAATGAAATAAAATAATGTAAAATAAAGGAAATAAAAAAATACTACAAAACTGTTTAATTAAAATAAGATAAATAAAATAAAGTAGCATAAAATGAAAGAAAATAAAATAAAATAAATAAAATAAAATGAAAAAAAATAGAATAAAATGAAATTAAATTTAATGAATTAAAATAAAATGAAATAAAAAAACACATTTAAATAAATTAATAAATAGTAAATAAAATAAAAAATTAAAATACAGTTAAATCAAATAGAATAAAGTGAAATGAAAAAAAAAAATAAATTAAAAATAAAGTAAATAAAATAACGCGAAATTAATTGAAATAAAATAAACTAGCCACAAATAAAAAACTCGTTTCATGCGAAACTAATTTTTGTTTTACAGTTACAGTTGTGCACCGTATTTTTTTAATTTGCAATAATTTTTTTATGTTAAGAAATTGACATAAATTTCTTTAGTTATTATGATTTTCTCTTGATATTAAAAAGTAATAATTAATTTAATTACCTTCTGTTTATTACTTAATTTGCGTGAAAACTGTATTGAAACAATAAATAATAATGCCATTGTATTTATGCAACTTGGCTTAATGTGATTAAAGATGCTGAAGTTTATGCTTTTTTTAATGATTCGTAACAATGTTGTTCTACGAAAAGATTTTGCAGCAATGCTAATAGCATATAAGACAAGGAAAAATTAGGTAATGAAAATCTCAAAACTAAAGTGGGAAAATATAATGAAAATTTATTTGTATACAGAACATATGTTTTTATTGAATTTAATTTGAATTTAAAAAATCAGTACACTCGTATCTATGGGTGGGTTGAAAAGTTTATGCACCCGAAATAACAAAAAATAAAAAAAATACTATCTTTACTCATTATAATCTCCCTTAACTTTCATAAAGTACTAAATGGTTTATTCCATTTAATCCATAATGAAAACGACAAATTTTAGTAAAACATTTCAATACAATAATCCTTAAACATAAAATTTATGCTCTTCACAGCGAGCAATGACAAAGCAAAAAGTGGCTCTTATAAAAAATAAATAAATAAAAATAAATCACAATAAAGCGCCAATAATAATTCTACGCTCATCAAACAATACTCATTTGTCACATGCGAAATACGAAATCGGTGAAATGAAAAAAGTAAGAAAAAGTCAAAATACGCTATTTGTTATGCAAATTAATAAATTGCTTGTCTTGGCGACACAAAAGCTAAAAGCCACGCCAAAAATGATTTCATTTGCATGCACAGGGCATACGTACATACAAATACTAACTTAACTCTATATATTGTATATACGTGTTTGTGTGTATATATAAAAATATTTGCATTTATTGCGCATGCGCACATCAAAAAGCGTAATTTGCATGCAATGGGCTCACTCAAAATGTTGTATAAGTTTATTTTATATTTTATTTTAGAGTTTTTCCTTATTTGTATTAAGTTTTTGTTATATGTTTTGTTTTCTTCTTTCATTTGCACTTATTACCTTATGATGCGCCGACGTGACAATGGAGAATTTCTCACAGAAGCGAAGACAAGTAGAATTTACCTAACAGTAGCGCATAACAACCCAAAAAGGACGCAGCTAAAGATTTTTGATTTTCAGAAAATGTTAAAAAACAACTATTTTATAAATGAGAAAGTAGATAAGAAGGTTTTATACGGGAAAAAATGCTGTGGTTGGCGAAAATTCATGTGTATAATGGGCTATGCATCTGAGTTTTAATAAAAAATTATAATTTTTTTTAATTTATTACATATTTATAACACTAATTTTATTAAAATTCGTCTTGAAATCACCAATACACACATTTTCTCTTTAACCTCAAAATTTTTAATTTTTATTTTATGTCCTTTTCGGAAACGACATAGTGATGGATGCGTACGCGCCTTAAACGCGTGACATCATC